CTGCAATGTCATCATGACTAGGAGTGGCAAGGTGACTGTTGATCCACCTGCTCGGGAACAAGATAGAGAGACCCCTGTCTTAGCATCTCCAGCGATTGAAGAAGAGGCAGAAAAGGAGGTTGAGGTGCCTGCACCTAAGCCGCAACCGGTAGTGAAGGAGTATATCCCGAAACTCCCCTTCCCTACTCGGTTGCACAGAGACAGGCTGGAGGCAGAGTTCGAAAACTTCATGGCCATGCTTAGGAAGCTGAATGTCCAAGTACCCTTCCTGGAGGCACTATCTCAAATGCCTAAGTATGCGAAGTTTCTGAAAGAGCTTCTCTCAAAGAAGCAGAAGCTGAGTGAGCTGGCCACTGTGGAGCTCAGCGAGGAGTGCTCGGCTATTCTGCAGAACAAGCAGAAGGACCCAGGTAGTTTTACTATCCCGTGCTCTATTGATAAATTGCATGTAGAGAGGTCCTTGGTGGATTTAGGTGCTAGTATCAATGTTATGCCGTATAAATTGTTCAAGAAACTAGGCCTAGGTGAACCCCGTGCTACTAGGATGACCCTTCAATTAGCTGACAGATCTGTAGTGCATCCTAGGGGCATAGTGGAAGACCTTCTGGTTAAGGTTGGCAAATTCAAATATCCTGTGGATTTTGTTGTCCTGGACATCAATGAGGACACAGAAGTGCCCCTTATACTGGGAAGGCCTTTCCTGGCCACCGCCAATGCTCTCATAGATGTGCATGACGGGACCTTAGTTTTGAGGGATGGCGAGGAGCGAATAACGTTTTGAATTGCTAATACTCTACCTGCTTCGTTACCTCTGCATGATGTATCTCACCAGGAGCACGAGTCTGTCGTGTATCCTTCTGTGTTTCCTATTTTGCAGGATCCGCCTCCCATACCTTCGCCGCCACTCCAGTCCACACCGCCCCCAAAAGAACAGATCAAGGAGGAGTGGCGGCCGAAACTGCAGGCAGCTAAGCCTGCTCGAAAGAAATCCGGAGACCACTATGAGCTGGTCCCGCCCCCACCTTGGCCATCCGAGTATTCACTCGCTTGCATCTTGCCGGATGGCCAAGTCGAGTTGGCGAATGCTGGTGGCCACATTCGTCGCGTGCATGGCCACCATTTGAAGCTGTACCTCAAGAGCGATGTGGATCCGCTCTTGAAGGCACCTAATCCTACACTTCTCTGAGCATCCATACTGGCGTCCAGCTAAAAGACGGTAAAGAAGCGCTTGTGGGGAGGCAACCCCACCGAGGTTTGCATTTTCTTATTTTTTTTTCTTTTTGTTTTTGTGTTTTTTTGAGTCTTGAGATGTTGATCCAGAGTCAAATGTCGTTTTTGAGTGAAAACAGGTTGAATTCGGGGCTCCAGCAGCTCACACGGCCAGGCCATATGGTCACACGGCCGTGTGGATTTTATTCCTTGGCCGTGTGAGCTCTCGGCAAATTCCACACGGCAAAGAGTGCAAATTTGCACGGCCGTGTGGATTGGCCTGGCCGTTTGGCCGACACGGGCATAACATAATTTCGCACGGCCGTGTGGATTTTATCCCCTGGCCGTGTGAGCTCTCGGCAAATTCCACACGGCCAATTGTGCATTTCGCACGGCCGTGTGGAATTCCTCGGCCAGCCCGTGTCGGCCTACACGGGCAAAAGTGCTCTTGACACGGCCGTGTGGGTTGCCCGTGTGACGGTGATGATGGTGCTGATGGAGCTGATGGTGATGACGCCTTCATGAACGACATCGACTTGGATGATCTTGGCGACGAGTAGGCTATACTCGTTGCCCATCTTAGTGTGTTTTGCTTTTCGTTTTAGACTTTTGTGTGTTTGCTCCATGTGTGAGGAACTTGAACTTAGTGTCGTTTGTTTTTGTTTTTGTTTTTCTTTTGTGGTTTGTTTATGTTGTAGCCGTCTGGGCTAACACTTATCCCTAACGCACAGTGTGCTAGTGTGTTCTTGGTGTTCGATTCATGCAGAACTGTCCATCTTCCCATTTGTTTCTCGCTGACTGGTCCACTTCCAGTCCCCCAGCAGTGTTTCGATCCGGTAACATCGTTCCCCTTATCTCTCCCTCTACTCCATTGAGGGCAATGTTGTGCTTAAGTGTGGGGGGTGCTTTGTATCGGTTGGAATATATATCTGTGTGCTTGGAGCCTAGTCCGTTGTCCGAATCGTACGATTTGAGGGCTCCAAGTACTGCTGTTTGATCATATTGGCACTGTGTTTTGATTGATGAATTGAATGGTTTTCGGATTGATGCATGACAGCTTGATTGTGACTAGGACAACCTATGATGAGGACTGAGACGTGCACTAGAATTGTGTAGGGGTTTAGTTCTTTCAACTGTTTGCTTGCCAACTGTGACTTGGATTGATTACTTGTTCTTGACAGTTGTTTATGCATCTAGTTCAGGGTATCAGAACGTGAGATAGAGCATATAGGTAGCCATGTGAGATTTGAGCATGCTCGTTTCTTTCTTGTGCGATAGATCCCTCTTCCATGATGTGTAGCATTCACGTTGTCACTAGCTAAGATGATGGGGGCATAGGATTAGCCCACGCCCAAATTGACTGTCCTGATGTGTCATATCCTCTAGTCAGCCCCTTTGAGCCGTGTGTTATCCTTTCTTTTTGGTCTATAACGAAAAATCACCCCTTTGCATCTTTTAGAAGGTTCCACAGAGTGGTTTTTACATGTTCTCTGCTGTTTCTGCTAAATTTGTGATGTGAGTGTTGGAGGTAGTGCTTAAAAGTTGGGCATGTGTTTGAAATATGTGCAGAAGGGGTGGCTCTCTTAAGAAATGAAGAGAAAATGGAATAAAAACAAAGAAAGAAATTGAAAGCAAAAGAGAGCCACTACCAAAAATCTGAATAATGCCCAGTAAGTAGTGTTTCTTAGCAGTCTGGCTTGGAAATGCTGACATTTATACCTGCTTCGCTCTTGTGCTTTTGAAATATTGAGTAATGCAGAATAGCAGAAAGGAAATACCGGTTTGTTTGACTGTGATTGTGTGGGTTTGGAAATGTGGAACCTTGTGCTATGAATACTTCCACCACTTAAAAGGCCTTTTCCCCATGTCCAAGACCCTAGCCAGTCATTTGAACCTGTGTCTAAGACCTCTTGATTAGTTAGTGGTGACACCCCATATGTGAACTCTAGCATTTAGAGGCTGCCATCATGGTGAAGAGATGTTAGGGATTGAGAGAAATAGCATGCGCATTTTTCGCATCAAATTGTCCTGACCCCACTGGTCGAGGGTGAGTGATTCATTTTCATATTCTATATACTCTTGTACCCCGGTGAGGACCTAGATTGCTCGGTCTCTATTCTGATGTTTTGAGTTGGATGCATGAGTTGACTGTTTTGAGTAAGTGGTCGAGTCAAGTCTAGGTTGGCTGGTGAACAGAACAGAAGGGAGACTCTTCCTTTACTCAATTTTGCTGCACTCGAATGTCCTTTGTGGTGGTTGTCCAGGTTGCTATTGAAGTTTTTCATGTGTTGATGCTTGAAAACCATTACGATTCACGTGTTCTGTGCATTTATGACTTGTCCCCAATGTTGGTTGATTGAAATTTTTAAGCTTACCTTGTGTCTGACTTGGTTTGCTTGGGGACAAGCAAACGTTTAAGTGTGGGGGAGTTTGATAGACCGTTAATTACACATGTTTTTACCCCTGTTCTTACACCGTTTGAGATGTGGTTTCTCGTGTTTTAGGCTGATTTCACGCTAGGTTGTGCTTGTTTGTGATATTTCAGGTCCTAGTACGTGAATGGAGGCTTGGGAGCGAGTTTGGGGTCGATTGGACGAAGATCGGACGCATGGCGAGGTTCTAAGGAAGCCACACGGGCAGCCCTGGGTATCACATGGCCGTGCAACACACATTTGTGGCCGTGTGACTTTCGCCGAGAGCAAGCACGGGCATCCCAGGAAATCCACACGGCCGTGCGACCCTGGCCGTGTGGGATGGCTGAAGATCGACCTAATTGATACGGCGCGTTTTCACTCACACGGGCAACCGGGTGAGCCACACGGCCGTGTGGCCTGCCCGTGTGAGTCGGGAAATCTTGGTTTTTCAGCCAATTTCCAGCCAAAAGGGGAGAATCGGATTTTGAGAGCAAAAACAGAGCCCTAGAGAGAGAAAGTACGAAGAACACATCCTAGAAGCTATCTTGGAGCTGGGTTTCATCGAATCAAGCTTGGAGATCGTCATAGGAGTGGAAATCATCATCCCGGAGCAGATTTTCCTCATCATTATGAGTATGACTACTCCGATTACTGTTTTCTCCTCTCTCTCTCTATGGAGTAGAACCTTTCTCTCACTTGGGTATGAAGAACCCTAGTTCCTTGTGTTAGGGATTTGATTGTAATGACTTGGGATGATTACACTATTTGGTTTTAATCGAATGATGCTTGTTTGTTGAATTGATTGAAGTCTGATCAGCTTTTCTTGATTTCTGCTGCAACATGAGATAGATAGAATCTGATTAGGTTGTTAGAGCCTCTTCATTCGATAGTAGGAGATTGGCTATACGAGAGTTAGCCAGTTTACTGCTTTGTACTGGAATTCAATTCCAGTAGTGGAGTTCTGCGCTTATTGCTTCAGATTTCTATCCCGGTGAAGACTAGTCGTCTGCCGGGTAGTTAAACTGAGAGGGCTTGGTCAGCTTAAGAGATTCCAAGCTACTGTCGGATCTTCCGCAGTCTAATCAACAGTGAATCAACCCAGGGGAATTACAATTGAACCTAACTAAGGGGCTAGGGGGACTCATTCCCGAGTGACTCTTTCCTGCTTTTGAAAACCGAACCATTTCCTGCTTTCTTACTGCTTTTGCTTTAAACAACAATCAATCGAATTAGTTGGCTAGATAATAGACAATCACGGAGTAAGCAGTAGATCTAGACCCCGGGTTGATAAAAGAACTTGCCTGTTACTGCATTCCCGGACTGCGATTACACTTGGTCGCAGTTTGGTGTTGTGTTTTGGCGTGTCAACAAACCAAACCTTAATTTACATAAGCTTTTAAAACTTCAGGGCACATGACATTAAACAAGATCATTTTCTCTCAAAATACGATAAAAAAGTCATGTCGTAGTCCAAGTCCACCATCCCACCCCATAGATGTCGAGCTGGGTCTTGGTGAGTTCCCTTGATTTCTATTCCAAAACATGATCGATACACCAAGGCTGGTATCGCTCTCCCGGAGAGCTAAGCATAAAGGCGCATTATCAGATCTCATAGAGTGCATGACAGGGCTCCATTAAGTTTGATTTAGGTGATCAAACAATTCTTTAGTTAGCCACATAAACAAAATCATACATTATCATTATTCAAACATTCTCAACCATACCATCATATATGAGCATAACATCGCATGTTGGATTTCTATTTCATATATCACCTCATAGGCTTACCAGTATCATATAAGGCCTTATAGGCTCCCCAGTATCACACGATATCCAATTGGGCTTTCCCAGTATCACACGATAGCCAATTATGCTATCCTAGTAACATTATATGGTAATTCAACCTATTCAACATCATATACATGTCACAGTTTCATTCATAATTATCAATCATCATTTACCACTTTTCACATATATGAACACATAGCTATACATTCATATAACTCATCCATCATGCATACATGGTAACTCATATGCACACATATAACCATGTCCGTTCAACCATTCCACATCGCACATTTCATATTTGAGTCGCTTCATGGCCCGAATATCATATTTATAAGGTTAATAGGTTAGAGTTTACTCACAGTTCGATCGTTAATCGACAATCTCTTTTCCCTTTGAGGATTCCCCGACTTGCTCTTTTCCTTTAATTACACAATTAACACACCATTTAGTGATATATTACACATAGGGAGTCTATATTTTGGGGGGGAAATGGGACATGCACGATCTGCCCTGCCCCTGAGGTTACATACACTACAGGAAAATTCACTTTCAATCACGGGATTTCCCGTGACCAAACATTCAATTCCCGTGACCGATTAACTTAGTCACGGGCAATATCCCGTGACAAGCATGCCCGTGGTTGAAGGTCAACGGTCACGGGAAATCCCGTGATCATAATTATATAATAACGGGGAGATTCCCATGACAAATGATCTTTGTTTGTCACGGTACCTCCCGTGACTAAGTATTGAACACGGTAAACTTACCGTGACAAAAATATGAAAATGTCACGGTATATCCCATGACAAATTGAGTTATTTGTCACGGGATTTTGTCCAATATTTACAATGATGTAATTGCCATGGTAACAGTTTTATTTCAATGGTCACGAGATTTCTCATATTTTTATTAAACCATTTGTCAGACCAAATATTGTAATTTATATTTGCTAAAATAACCAGAAATCTTCCAAAAGTAACAAGAAGAAATCACTTTTGAAATAATTAACAAGTCTCGGCATTATATATATCATGCCCTTCAATGCTAATAAAATCTAATTCTTGAAAAATTTTAGGCACATGGAAACTATCTAATTAATCATATCACAAAATATGAATGCTTCAACAAAATAAGTTCGAGTAGTTTCTATCTTGGTCCGAAAAAAAAAATTACCATTGCACTAAAAAACGTGCAAAGTTAAACTAGCTTCTCGTGCTTCACCCTTCTGTCATCTTCCTCTGGAGTTGATGCCTGTCCTCTCCAGTCTCCACTGTCGACTCCATTGATTGTGAAACCAGCTGCTCCTCTCTTGGTAAGTAACTTATCCTACAACACATGAACACAACATGTTATTTTTACTCTCTTTGTATTTTCCCAACACGTTATACCAGTTTTTATAAGTCCTATGACTTGCTTCATCACATTACATGTGGGAGGGGGACACTGTAAGAATCAATGAATAAAAAGAAGACAGATATATGGCTTTTAACTTGTCTGCTTCATTATGAACTTTCAAAGTTGTCTGGGATTTTCCTGGTCTTCCAGCATCACTTTCCAAACAACAACAAAAATAGAAGCTAGCGAAAACCAGAAAAGTAGCAGCAGAAAAAGTTCAGCAACAATCATAGTACCTTCAGTTCCAAAGTAGAAGCAGGAAAATTTTCAGCAGTAGAAAAAAATAGAAGCTAGTGAAAACCATTCTTGCAGCATCACTTGCCAAACTACTCCTAGTAAATGTTTTGCAGTAGCTAATCAAACATTACAATTAACATGAAAACGCTTTGGAAAGTGCAGAACAATCATAAATGTCAGTTAGATCAAGAGGCAATAAACGCAAGAGTTGGTATGTATTTTCACCCAATCGGTTCAAGCTAACAAACGCACTTACGTAGTAACCGTCCTCAGTTCGGATTGCACACTGCAAATCATCTACATGAAGCCGCTTAGATACATTAAATCTATGCTCTCAAGCTGAGAGTAATGGGTACATTACATACTACCAACACTCCCGTAAACTAAGGAGCCTAGCTACGATGTAACTAAATTGAATAGGCAGAATCATTTAGTGCCTCTTTCTTCCATCTATGTTCTTCATTTAAAGAAAAATTATATTGCAGTAATCAAGGAGTGGAATCATTAAACCTCAATTCTAGTTCACCTTTTCTATTTACTTTTCTCGGGTGATTATCAAATTTGGTTATCACTTCTCAAAACATATGCACTAAACTTGTATTTGTTGTGACTAAGAGCCGGTCTGCACACAACCTGTAAAGTGACTCATAAACTCAACAAGATTTTGGAATGTAAAGTAATGAGGATCAATTACTCAAACACAAGACTGCAATTAGCAATAACTCTTTTCTACCACGAAAAAAAATGAAAAGATGACCCACCTTTAGCAATTTGAAAAAAAGGGGATGATGAAAGCAAGAACCAAAAGCCTAAGATTCCATCTATGATTTTCTAGCTCCTGATTCCTCACTCATATTATTAAGCTTGACACCAACAATGACAACAATATATAAGGCAGCAAAGGAACTCAAATGCATCTATCATTGTCTAATTGGTTATTTTGCTGTAAATAATTTGATTATGCAATTAGGGAATCTGAATGAAGCATAGCTCTCCAATTGAATTAGAGATGGGGGCGAAGCCTACCACAACTGCAATTGATGTTTTAGGCAACGCCATACACCTGCATCTACGATGGGAGGCCAGGGTGGGGCCAGATCGGTGGTTAAGTTGGCAGAACCTGCATCCATGATAAATAACACAAAAAAATCCAATAAACCCACAAACGAAGACTAAAACCTAAAATCACAGAGAACAATTGGGGATATTTCAAATAAACAATGGAGAGAGGATGTCGAAGGCGCACGCAAAGACGATATTGGACAAACCTGGGAGGAGCGGCTAAGATGATTTGAAGATGAGGGTCGGGACTCTGGAATAGGGGGAGTTCTAGAGGATGATATCGGATTTGGCTCGATCTGTAAAAGGGGATTTGGTGCTCAGTGAAGCCAAGGATTGCATGAATGATCTAAGTAAGACATGGGGCTTGAACGGCAGAGGATCTGGATTCGAAGCAGTGGTTGGTGGCATGGATGTGGATTCGCAGCTGTGGTGGGTGGCGGAGGAGTTGTGGAGGGTTTTTTTGGAGCGGAGAGTCTTCCTTACTCTTTCCTTTTCTTTCCCTTTCGTAAAATCCCTATGTTGTCATTCGGATTCACTCGTGCCTCTCTAGTCTCTACCATGTCTTAGCAGAGGAATGGAGTTTCTTATTCTCTTTCTTGGTACAGAGAGAGAAAGGAAAGGAAAGAACGAAGAAGGAAGAAGGAAGAAGGAAGAAGGGAAAGTTGGGTAGAGTTAAAAAGGAAAAAAATTCAAAAAAGCCAAACAAATAATGGACAGGGCGGGACACTTGAAATATTTGGGGAGCCAGTTTTTGAGCGAGTCAAATGGAAGTGGCAAATAATTGTTTTTATTCCCGCCCATCAAGTTTTTGTTCCCGCCCGACAACAGTCACGGGAAGTTATCTTGATGGTTGTTTGACATTCAACAGTCACGGGAATATCACCCCGTTATATATATGTCATCTTTTGTCATGGGCGGATACCCATGACAAAATATCCCCGTGATGAAAGATGCATTTTCTTGTAGTGATAGCCGTGAATTTCATGGTTTTGGTCGTGCAAGCCCCTTGGAAGCTTCACACGGTCGTGTGGTCGTTTGCACAACCCGTGCAACTTACCCCCTTCCACAATTTTGGTCATTTATTCCTTGATTCTTGATCAAATCGACTGATTCTTTTTTATAGTTAAACTAACTTCATATGACTACTACATATCAAAATTTCAGACCATTTGAACCAGTGAATTTGTTTTGGCACTCAATTGAAGTTGAAGGTTCAAAATTGAATTTTCTACTTCCTCTTCCACTACTCCCCTTCCTTTTATCCATCCATTCTTAAAACTCATACCATAACCTCTTGGCCAATCTCCATAATAAAACAAGTCTATACACACTCACACAAAATCATCATAACCCTTTACTTTATTCGTCAAACATGGTATGGTCAAGAACCCGATTTTTGGGCAACTTTGTCATTTTGATCCATAACTAACTCTAACTTTCTTCCCTTGATTTCTAACATCTTTAAACACGATTCCCAACATGAAATCAAGCAACAAATCCATAATTTTCTCCCTAGAATAATTTATAGGGCTTAGGGTATTTGCTTGGAGAAAGGAAGAAGATGCAACCATGGTTTCTTACCTCTTCAAGCTCTCCCCTCCCTATTCTCCAACTCTCATACTTGCCTTAGCTACCTTAAGTTCCAGATTTTTGGGATGTTGGAAGATGGTGGTGGTGATGGTTTGGAAGAGAAGGGAAGGGAAGGAAATGGAACATGAGAAAGAAGGGAGGGACAGAGCATATTTTGTCTCCTGCAAAGTCCCTATAGAACACTCTTCTTCTTCAATACACAACCTCCACTTGGCACCCCTATCAGCATTCACTCCTCCAATTTTCATTTCTCTCCAATTTAGTCCTTAAAATTTGATAAACCAACAAAATAACTTACTAATCTCTCCTAAATCACCATAATCATCCAATTCCCGATGTAAGGGACAATACAATTATTCGCGTCATTAATGACATTATTATAATAAAATTATGCTTATGAGGGTAATGATATTACACTATAAGGTGTCTAGGTACTTTTGCACCCTTTGCCATTTAAATCTCCCAAGACTTGTTGCATCCTAAGTATTCAAACTGCCTAAGAAAGTAGCGCCCGATAATTATTTTGTACTTTACTCGGTGTTGGAAATGACAAGTTCGTGTGCGGTCACACTAAAAATAGTAACAACAGCAAACTCAAATGCAATTGAAATAACCATAGTGAAATATGAAGCATGAATATTATAAGTATGTCAAGTTGCCAAAATGATGTTTTGAAGGAAAAGTAAGAGTAAAAAGTAAATAAGTCTGGCATTCACTAGCTTGTCTAACGCTCATCCCTTTGCATCATTCACGTGTTGCACTTCCTCTTCTTTCGAGATCTTGCATCATTCTACAAAGTTGACTCATTCATAGTTAAGTATACAGCATACTCATTTCACACCTTCTTGTGTTCACCATAAAGCGTCATTTCAAGAAGAGAGGCAAATTTGGTAGCTTCCAGTTGCGCTTTGTCGCACTGCCTGATAAGTTCTTGGCACATGTGTGCACTATTGAGACTGTCATTCAGTGTGCTTGTGGACTTAAAAGACTCCATTTTTTCTGCAATTAAGTGCTCCTTCTCCTAAGTGTCGATTTCTGCAAACAACAACATCTTTAAAGAGTACAAAGTGTTAGTAATTATACAAGTAATTAATCAATGAGTAGACAACATGG